GTGCTAGGAAACTCTCCACCAATCTCTCGAGTGAAACAAAAATTCACAAGATACTACGTCCATTTTGTGTGTCAGGGCTTCTGTTCCGTTCAGACTCACAGCCAAACTAACAGACGGTATAGCAGCAAAACGAAGGGCGTGTCACAGGGCGTAGATTTTAGCCAGTTGCAGATGCACCATCCCCGAATGGCTACCAACTCAGGCCCTTAACTACCGGTGGGAGCGCAACCGCTCTAGGACTCAAACACTTCCTGACAGCCACATGTTTAGCCGTGACATGAACTGCAGAAGCAGGTCAGGACCTAAAATCAACTAGAGGACAGCCTAGGGTCAGTTCAGTGAGTTCGGTTCCCAGATAGAACCAGTTAATCGTTTCTTACTGAAGAAAGACTTGGTAGGATGGACAGGTTTCCAAGGCCTGGGCGCGATGGTTAGTTTGGCCAGTACGTCCCCTCGAACACAACCGTTTGAGACTTTAATTAACACGTGAACACTAAACAATGAGTAAATGACTTTGGTAACCCTTTCTTGGTCCTTTATTTGCTGTTACCTGATAATCTATCACAGCAGCCAAGTTAAACCCTTCATCGTCCTTTTTCCAAAGGGTGTTCATAGGGTAGAAGTCTCCATGACATAAAACACGATCCATCCCTGAAAATGTATTCCGTGAAATTGAAAGAAAATCCAAAATTCTATAAGCAGAGCTCTCCGCGCAGGCAAGATGTGCATGTTCTCAACGCTATAGCTGTCAACCTTAGCACGAAATGTCCCTTATGGGGAACACGGTACAGCACCTCTTATAGACGCCCTGCTACCTTCCCACCGTCCTTACCAATAAAGGAGCTAACTCCTCTAAAACTTTTCACTCACCTAAATCGTCTGCTAGATTGTCCAATCGGTCCCATTTTAATAGGTCCGGAAGGATACCCTCCAGTCGATCTACATATTTTTCAAAGTGGCCATTTTGTAATGTGTGTAAAGACGAAATTGACCTTTTCAGATCCTGGAACGGAAACTTCTCAATTTCGTTACTGCGATGAAAAAAGTCTACAACGGTTACAAATTCCCTTTACCGCGCATGAAACATTTACATAAGGAGATCAACACAAACCTCTTCTGACGCAAATATTCTGCGCATGCTGTCAAAAGGTGCCTTCATGAACTGCTTCCTTTCTTCAGGTGAAACATCGATGGAAGTCGCCTCGAGGATAGCTTTGAAGCGGAAGAATCTGAACAGACGGGAATTGAATGCAAGGATTTTCTCTTGGTTGTGCAGTATTTCTTTACTAACTGTGTTCGCTCTATTTGAAGCACACCTTTCCCTTGGTCATTCTTTTTCACATCATTCGTCAGCGCTTCCCACATATTGCGACTCGAACCTTACTCCTTCATACTCATTGTTCTGCTATAGTCAGGTAAGTATCAAAACCAGTTACGGGGTATGCGTTGCGTTCATTCTGTATAGGGCCGACCTTTGTCGGATGTTTGCTTTATTTGAAATATGTGCTCCTGGGTTAGCTATCGTGGAGTAGTTCAACTTTGTTGAGTTGTAGGTACAAATGGTGGGGTTTTTTCGGGTGGCTTGCAGTTGGTAACGCTAAAACCATAGCGTAGGGTGAGAGATTTTCTAACGGTATTTCCCAATTCCACGAACATCTCGCTTCAGGCACAGTATGACCTTCCCACAGGGCTTGACTTCCTTTTCTACGACAGGAATTACATTTTCCGCTGGTGTTAGTCACCTCCTGATTCCAGGAAGGTTCAAGTAGGAGAAGCTTTTTCTACACTCAAGTTGTTCAACCAGACCGTCGCAAGAGCGGGAGAGTTTCATTGTAAGCGCGGTCATCTCTTTTGATGGTATTTCAGCACCTCCAGTGGAGCGGTTCCAGCGGAGCCTTTTACCTTTTGTACCTCTTTGTGCTTCAGAATAAACTAGCCGCAGGGCCGTTAGATGTGCCAGGAAACAACACGAGTTATCTTTTGAAGGTCGATCGATTCATAAAGAACCATTTAAGCGAATTCAATACCTTCTCATTAGAATGATTGCCCATATATGTAGCAACCATGCCTTGTAATTGAGAAAAGGAATGGGGAGCACGTGAATGGGGAAAGTTCATTCAAATTCGTTCACGATAAAGGGGTCTAAATGCAACGCAGCAGTTCCTCAACCAACTTTGTCTCCCAGAAGGAAGTAAGGTACTGAGAAAGCGCCTGCCTTATAATGTTCGTTCCTTAGCTCAGCTTGCTCTGTCGTCAGAAGTGAAATGACAAGGCCGTTTGTTCCAGAGAGGGTTCAGATGAATCAGTAATGCATCTCACACGCCCTCTTTTCGAATGACATTAATTTCCCAGTCTTCGTTACTTCAAAACGCTATCAAAAGAAACAATGAGGGTTGTGAATAAAAGTTTTTACACCAGGCAGCGCTCAAACCCGTCCTCATACACCTACAGGGGAGGGGCCAATAAAAAAGCACTTCGACCGAGTAATATCAGCGAAAATTTCGCAGCACCAGATAGAGGATCGATACGATACCAGGGCGGAAGATACCCAAGATGTTCCTCTATAAGCAGGAGCTGGCGCTCGCCCATCACCTTCATGTACACCAAAATATGAAGTCATCTCCAGCCGCAAGCCTGACTGGAGAAGACCTTCGGAATTCATGTCACCTTAAAAACAGCTGCGAAAACTTACAGAAGCGGAGTCACCATTGACTACCTGTGAGACCAGTACTCTTCGATCTGAAAAGACCCCGAACATCGCATGCAGTCCGGCAAGGCGCTACGGATAGGATATCGATCTCCACTACATGTCGACCCAATGGCGGGTCCCGTTGGATGGTATGGACGGACCGCTACCTGGAATGTGAAGACCGAATATTTTCTTCGTGGGACCCCTGGACTGAGGTGAGCGCTGCGCGTATACATCAAGTAACGCGAGAGAATATATCCCCACATGGCCCCGTCGCCCGTACCTTCTTGGAAACTTTGTACTGCTACAGCATTGAGTGCCACCACATGAAATCGAAGGGCGTTGGAGAAACTCTCGCCTACTTGGAATGGAAGGGGGCTGAGTACCTAAAGAAGATGGAATATCCACCGTCACCTGACCTAATCCCATCAATTTACTTGCTTCGTGCGAGTTCAGTTAGCGGTGGTCTACAGTGACGCTAGAAAGCAACGATCTCGTGAACTCAAGCACTGAACCACCGGTTGGCAGATCGAATTGTTGATCAAGTGCAGTTTATAGCGCCTCGAAATCAAGCAGAAAAGGGTCTTTTTTTATTGGGCCCTGATATATATACCATTTTCACTTTAAATTCGCCCTTTTTCAAACCAAATTCGTCCTTTTTCAAACCAAATTCACCCTCACTCTTCATCAAGAACCACACTTATTAGGGCGGGCAACTCATCAACCAGATCACGCCAGACATCACTGCGAGCCCCGCCCCGACGGCCACGCCCACTTGTCAGCGCGGACATAGATTCTCAAATCTTGTTTCATAACTTCTGCTTTTGCTGTTTCCCACAAACACTTTGACTGGAAACCACCGTGCATTCACACATGGCCGACTCCGCCCATTCTCTAAAGGGTTTGGCACTCTAGGCTGACCACGCCCACTGGCTTTTCGCGGAATTTCGATGTTTTTTCAAAATTTTTGCATTTTAGGGTTGCTGCGTGAAGCCCCGCCCTTTGTGAGATGCTCCGCCCACTTTGAATAAGCCCCGCCCACTTTTCAAAAATGGTGCAGATCGGCAGTATAGAGACTTGGCTTGCATGTTAGGGTATTGCTGATCATTCGGAATAAACTTTGCCGGATTTTCTTGTTCCGAGTGACGTACGAGACCCTAACATGCAAGCCAAGTCTCTATACTGCCGATCTGCACCATTTTTGAAAAGTGGGCGGGGCTTATTCAAAGTGGGCGGAGCATCTCACAGTGGGCGGGGCTTCACGCAGCAACCCTAAAATGCAAAAATTTTGAAAAAACATCGAAATTCCGCGAAAAGCCAGTGGGCGTGGTCAGCCTAGAGTGCCAAACCCTTTAGAGAATGGGCGGAGTCGGCCATGTGTGAATGCACGGTGGTTTCCAGTCAAAGTGTTTGTGGGAAACAGCAAAAGCAGAAGTTATGAAACAAGATTTGAGAATCTATGTCCGCGCTGACAAGTGGGCGTGGCCGTCGGGGCGGGGCTCGCAGTGATGTCTGGCGTGATCTGGTTGATGAGTTGCCCGCCCTAATAAGTGTGGTTCTTGATGAAGAGCAAAAAATTGTGGGCGGAGCCTGCTCCGAGGTGGGCGGAGCCAGACAAAAAAGGTCTGTAAAACGGTTCCAGAACACTCCAGACACCGGAAAAAAGTGGATTAAGGTCAGCAGAGGGTCGTCGGTGAGGATTGTGGGGCACAAACATTGTGGGCGGGGCCTGCTCCGAGGTGGGCGGAGTCAGACGAAGAATCTGTAAAATAGCTCAAGAGTACTTCAGACACCGGAAAAAAGTGGATTAAGGTCAGCAGAGGGTCGTCGGTGAGGATTGTGGGGCAAAAACATTGTGGGCGGAGCCTGCTCCGAGGTGGGCGGAGCCAGACAAAAAGGTCTGTAAAACGGTTCCAGAACACTCCAGACACCGGAAAAAGTGGATTAAGGTCAGCAGAGGGTCGCGGGTGAGGATTGTGGGGCAAAAACATTGTGGGCGGGGCCAGCGTGAGGTGGGCGGAGCCAGACGAAATTTCCCTAAAACTGTCCCAGAGCACTTCAAAGACCGGAAAAAAGTGGATCAAGGTCAGCAGAGGGTCGTCGGTGAGGATTGTGGGGCAAAAACATTGTGGGCGGAGCCTGCTCCGAGGTGGGCGGAGCCAGACGAAAATTCCCTAAAACTGTCCCAGAGCACTTCAAAGACCGGAAAAAACGTGGATTAAGGTCAGGAGAGGGTCGTCGGTGAGGATTGTGGGGCACAAACATTGTGGGCGGGGCCTGCTCCGAGGTGGACGGAGTCAGACGAAGAATCTGTAAAATAGCTCAAGAGTACTTCAGACACCGGAAAAAAATGGAGTACAGAACAAAAGGCGGATATCAGTTGAATCTAGAAATATGTGAAAGAAAGCACGCGCGGCGAAGCCGCGCCCGCCCGGCGCAGCCGGGCCGTATCAGAAGGAGCCACGCCGGCGTCAGCCGGCGAGGCGACTGGTGAGTTATAATATGAAGGAAATCGCTCATACATCGCCTCAAAAGGCCGTAACAAATAGACATTTGACCGCTCTGCTTGCGATGTGGCACCAGCCCGGATGTTCATTATTTCCTTTTCAGGGACCATAGCAGGACGAACTGCTTCGCGATCTTCGAACGATGTCCATGTACTAGAAACCTCCGAGAGCACTGCTTAAAAAATTCAAAAAAGCAGTTCCATCAAGGATCCGACCTTGCATTCGTGTCTCCAACCAACTAGCCACTAGGTCACCGTGGCATAGCCGATATAGACTCATATCTCATTCGCATATTAAACTTGATTATGCTCCTAACAAAAATGCACTCTGCTCAAAGAATCGTTTAGCAGATAAGGAGTGCAATTCGAAGCAGCGTCTGAGGAGCATCAGTGGGTATACAACCGTTTCAAATATCCACTTTGATCAACCATCCTTTCGTGGTTTGTTCTTTTCAAAGATTCTCCTTCTACTTTGCTCATATACTCAATAATCTCAGTGTAGATAAATGCTGAAGAAAAAAAAGACGATCGTTGGTAGAGTGAAGTATTCGCCAATGACTGACAAGTATATGGAAATAAGACTGTAAAATAACAACAATATGGGTATATTTATACCTATGTCCACTGGGTTTAGAGAGGATTTCAGCTTCCAAGGTATGAAATAGCTGAGAACTAGATGAAAGGGTTCGGCTCCCATTGCTATCCTCTGCTCATCTATCGTGACTTCTGTTTTCAACGTTTCCAACATTCATCAAAATAACGCGTGCGTCATCATTGGCCGCAAAAATGGTTTGATAACTTTATACAAAAAGAACTCAGCAAACGACGTGTTGTCGCAAGTCAAAAATCAACAACATTATGCGTACTGTTTTACGATTCGTGTCAGCCGAAGGCGATATGACGGTGCTTAGTCCCTGAACTGAGTTTAGTAAAAAGTACGAATCGCACGCTCAGCGATGACGTG